TACTGTTACTATTTTATATGTTCTAACCTGTGCATGGCCATACTGTGGCATAGATATCACAAGTTCTTTTGGATTACAACTCCCAGAATTCCAGACCAGTTGCCATGCTGGTTGGGACCAGTGGGAGTTGAATCTGAAAAATAAAACATCTACAAAAGACAGGAAATCACAGGAATTGGTGATTGGAGGAAAGTGAGTGAGGCCAAGGAAGGGAATGTAGCTACATGGGGATTCACAGTGCCAGATTCGACCCCTGGATCTGAGATTCCACATCCCTGGTCTGAAGAAAAGGGAAGCATCTCTGTGAAGTTTAGGACCACATTCAGAGCACCAGGATGTTAAATTCTCTCTCATCCTATTCTACTTCGTCTCTCTGAAGTTTGGATTTTGAATTTTCACCTAATGTTGCCCAGATATTCTCCACAACCAACATTGGGCTGTTTCTGCTCTATCTCAAATGATTTCATTCTAGGTTTTTTTTCACTTGTTTTCTGGAGGAAAGTTTCAGCTAGGATGAATCTGGGGCATAGATGCAGCTGACCTCCACAGTGCAGGAACCAAGGCACAAATGAACCAAGCTCTGCCACATTTATTTGATGTGGGGCACTTCCTGACTATCCACTAATCCTATCTCTATTTTTCTAGAGCCAGAATGAGTTGTCAGGGAGAAGCCATTTTCATGGAACCATGCAGTTCAGGTATTGTTTTTCTTTTACTGAGAGGACAGGACATAGGGGTGTGCAAAGCCAAAGATTTCTCTCTAGAAAGTGAACAAGGATGAAAAGTATTATTACAAAATTGACTTTTGAAAGTAACAACTGTATGTGCCCCTCAATTAGGAACAGCGCTATCACGTAACAAAAGCTGGTGCAGTTCAACAATAACAGACTTGGCCAACCACATTGCTTAAGGGCAAACTTATAATAAAATGAAGGAAATGACTGAAAGGATGTTAAATTTTCCTTGTGAGTTGTAACCATAAACAACTATGATGGTAAAAAATATCAGGCTAGAAACATATGGGAAAGCTATATGGAAGCTCCTGTTAGTCATCAATTGATTTTAGGAAAGCAAAAGTACTGTGAAAATAGGAAAAAATAATGAGTTTTGGAAGAACAGGCAACACTTAGAAAATGTTTCCATAGTCCAGTTCCATCCAGATCTTTGGGACTACAACTCCCAGGATTCCCATCAGTTCACCATCCTGGATAGGGCTGGACAAAGTTGAAGTCCAAAGCAGCAGGAAGGCCTAGGCTGGGAAAGGCTGACTTAGAAGGGTGCTTAGCAGTGCTTTTCTTAAACTTTTAAGAAAATGTAAAGACATCATAAGAATGTAAGAACATCAGAAAAGTCATGTTGGATCAGACCAATGGTCCATCCAATCCTGCACTCCATTCACATGATGCCAAACCAGCTGTCCACAGGATCCCTCAAGCAGGATGGATACAAGAGTTCCATCTGCCCAAGCTACTCAGCAACTGTTGCACACAGACATACTGCCTCTGATAACTGGGAGTAGCATATAGCCAGCCTGGTCAGTAGCCACTGACCTTCTTCAGTAGCCTTCTTCTCCATCAATTTGTCAAATCCCCTTTCAAAGCCATCCAAATTGGAAGCAAGCACTACTTCCTGTGGCAGTGAATTTCACATTTTAACTATGCACTATGTAAGAAGTACAATTATCAAGAGAACAATTTTTCCAGTTGCCAAGAAATACTTCCCCTCCATTAGCCCCTGATTTTAAAAAGACAGGTAAGAACCTTTTCCCCTGACATGTTAATTTTTCATGTACAGGGTTTTAATTTTTTGTATGCAGGAACATTCAAATCACTGAAGCTTCCATTTACAGTCTTAAATGAAACATCAAGCAACAGCAAGTACTAGAGTGACAGGTGAATGTACTGGCCTTAGTACATTCATCTGTCACTCCAGTCGGCTGTCTCCAAACTGCTGTTCCCCAAATGCTTTGCACTTCGCCTGCTACTGGTGCCAGCCAGCATGGTAAATGGTCAGGAATTCTGGGAGTTGTGGCCCAAAACAGCTTTTTGCCACACTCATGCCACAGTTTAGCCATGCCCAGATTAGGGTCTATAGAATAGTTAGAATAAATAGAAACACCTATGGCTGACATTGCAACAAACCCCACATTGAACCATGAGAATTTAGGTGTTTCAGTTTTGCACCTAGAACCATGCGTAAGCCCACATTTACCCTAAAAAGTGACTCTCCTGAGGCTTAGTTACAGATACTAAGACCTTAAAGCTAAATTATGCTGGTATTTTTCATATTTTTGGCCTGACCCTTTTGCCTGTGGCACTGGTCAGCAGCAAAATGCATCCCCTGAGTGTGCCTCTGAAATGCAATTCATCCCTCCAGCTGAAAGAGACTTTGCACCTATTTCCAAACTTCATATCTTTATGTATCTACTCAGGCCCAAATCCTCATTCCCTTTCCATTCACCTTAATTTTTGCTTCCACAGCTTTAGATCTTTGGAAAGTGTGATCTTGGAAGCAGAACAGATTCTGCAGATGTGCTTGATTTGTCCTAATTATTCCCAGAACACAATTTAGGTTTTCCTCAATGCAAAATTTGGCTCAGAGGGTTGGGGCAGAGTACGTAGAATCCCAATTATCATGAAGTCAGCAAGCTGCACGAACTCTATTCACAAAGTTGCAACTATTATTCAAAGATTTATAGGTGAATAGGCTGTGCACAGGCATACTGATATCCCGGTTACAAACATTCGAACATGAGCATCCAGGCATTGCTATTGTCTCAGATTCTCTCTGCTGGGTGAGCATGCAAGCATCAAAATTGACATGACCATCAAGGAACTGATGAAGGAGACGCAGAATGGTGCGCTTTCTTCTTTGGTTTCAAGACTAGTATTTTGAAGGCTTCGATACGATGCAGCTCACAAAAGGGATACGATACAGCCATGGGCCCCTCCACTGCAGCCTTTCTGTTAAAGCGGGAATTGGCTCACTCAGCAGGCATTGGCAAGTGGCCCACTTGGCAACTTACAAATTGAGTCACTGGAAATTAGTTGAGACATGGGGACTTAACTCAAAATTTGGCTTGGCTATAGCTAAGGAAGAAAGAAAAAAAGTCCTCAGGGCTGCAGCCAGCGATTTAAGAGCAAAGACTTTATGTGACAGTTTGTGGATGCTGGTGCTGACACTCATTATGGCTGTTATAAACAGAGGAAATAAATGCCTGCTGTCAGTGGTATCTCGCCAAAGTAATGCACGGCTTGTTTGGAAAAACCTGCCCTTGAGTGGAGATTTCCCATACCCTACTCCTACAGACTTCACAAGGGGAGTCTGTCTGGTTAGAAAAGACCTTCCTGGCATAATAAACTAGGATGGTGGAAGGCTGTGGATGTGCACTGGCCACATGTTTCTTGTAATGACCATGAGATTTCCGTATGCAAAAGGGAGACGCTTCTCTTATCGGTTGAGCATGGTGGGTTAGTTGATAGGAACAAAAACTGATTAACGCAGAATCCACCTCAGGAAGACAAGGGTCTTGTTCTGTTTTCTTACTGAAAGCCACAGTTCATTTGTCTCATTTACATAAAGTTTCTATGCTAATGATTTTTGTCTCTGTTAACCAGACATTGGGAACACTTACCAGATCCCTCCTAAATTAATTTTTCAGTCCTTTATTAGTTCTTCAGAATTTGTGTATTTAATATGATTCTTAATATTTATATGTGAACCACTTAAGAGGTTTTTCCTATTGAGCAGCATGGGTGTATTATTATTGCAGAAGCAAACAAATAATTTAAATATTTAGGTCACCCCAATATTTAGGTAACCTTATCCCCACCCGCCATGAGGGGGAGCCATGAAGGTGCATTCACCTCAGTTGAGGCCTTCCCAGCTCCTCACCACCACCCCACTTCCAAACTGGAGGAAAGTCCCCTTACAGGTGCTTGCCCGGCTCCAGGAAGGGGAGCAGGAGGCTGGAGATGTGACCACAGGGCAGCTCCCCCGGCTGGGAAAGGGCCGCGAGGAGGGAGGTAAGGGCTGCTTTCTGTGGGCCGAGGCAAGGGGAGGCAAGGGCCAGGACCACGGCCAGCCGAGCAGGGGACCTCCCGCCTCTCCCTGCCATGGGGGAAAGAAGCATGGCGGCCGCTCGGTGGCAGCGGTTTGCCCTGAGAAGGCTGCAGAGGAGGCATGGGAGCCGGAGCCCCACTCCCACTCCACCTCAGCCTATCTACCCCCGGGCTCAGCAAGGTGGCCGTAGCTTGGCTCACAGCCTGGGGACATGGCTCATATTTTTGTGGTTAAAAAAAATGACATATTTATTTATGTATAACTTTTATATGCCGTCCTTTATGTGTAACATTAAGTTATGGTTCAGAACAGATTAACCTTATTTACATTGAACCTTATGGGGAAATTTGACTTGGTTTGACCAATTCGGGTTGCAACCAGAATCGTGGAACAAATTAAGTTTGTGAACCGAGTTATCACTGTACTGGAATGCTGAAAGAGAGAAGTGCAGTAATGAATCCTTGACTGCTATTGGGCCTTGTGTCTTGGTCTGGAGAAAAAGCAACATGGGAAAAGAGACTGCAAAGCAGCTAAGGGGGGAAAGTCACAGACACTTTTATCAGAACAAATGAAATGCCGGTATGGGTATATTTAATGGGGTTTGAAGGAAAGAGGGATATGGAATATTTGGTACCTTTGGAAGAAAAGAAGTTTATAATTACACAGTGGTTGAGAAACTTTGGCATGCACAATAGATCCTGAGGAAAAGTGGCAGGTTTGCTGCACCCTTACAAAATCCCTGATGATCCCTTTCACAGCTTCATCCTGGTTATCTCAGAGAGAAAAGAAAATTTATCCAGTCGTGACAGCTACACTCCCCCTGTGCTTTTTGAGAACAAATTAAGGAAATAGCTTATACGTTATACTTTTCCATACTAGCTGCTTTCTAATTCTAACCCAAGAAGTATGTGATGTGGAGAAAGAGGATGGATAATTACCTCATGGGTTGAGTCCGCAAAGCTGTCTTCAAGTCTTCAACTATTTTATTCCTCATTTCTGTTTCTTCTTCATCAAAAGCATAAAGGGTCTGCATCTGTTTGGATGTGGTGAAGGAATAGTTACAAATCCAGCACTGGATGAAAGATTAGAGAATTTGAGGCTACTGAGGAACTCAGGATGTATCAATGCAAGCTACTTGCCAAACTAAATAGGAACTACTCCAAAATCTCCAGTAACAAAACTGAACAGAGATGCCATTCTGTCCCACCAAGAGTGAAATCCTCAATTGAGTTAATTGGTAGAAGACCCCCTGAACAATGAATATAATAATGGTTCATTTGCAAGTCAATTGGTAAAATTATTTTTTTCAATTATGAAATATAAATACTGAGAAATCATCTCGTTCAGATGAGTTTTCAATTGAGTGGTAGAAAACATTTTCCAATTGGGCTTCCTTTCTTTATCATTAAATGAGACTGTTCAGTACTATGAATCTTAAGTCTGACAAAGATCATCTTTATTGTGCTAACTGTTGACCTAGTTTGTTAATAAAGGGATCTATACAATAATTATGGCAACCCCAGTGTAGATATTAAAATATTTAGTGCCATTCTGGCCAACAGATTGCAACAAATTATCACAACATTGGTTTGAGCAGATCAAATGGAAGAGTAAACAAAGACAGGAGTAGATAACTTGTTCTTGATCTGCTACCTTTAAATACTGATAAAAGAGACAATACTGCCATTGTTTCTGAAAAGGCCTTTGATAAAATTCATTGGAAATTTATTTTTGCAAGGCTGAATAATTTTGAGTTTCCTGCAGAACTTTTGAAATGGATCAGAATTTTATATTCAACACCAAGAGCTCAGAGTTATGAACAGCAATCTCTTTTCAGCTTTCTTTTCACTTGTGAAGCTCACCAAAAAGGGGCATGCACTTTCTCTATTGAGATCTCAATTATTTTGGAACTCATGACATGTGCTATGTGATAGAATAGTATTAATAACTTTACCCACAGTTATTTAGAACTGAATATTGTCATTTATGTTATTATTTTGAAATTCCAATATGGATATTTGGTCTGCCTTTGTTAAAGTGTATGTACAATTCTTAGAATGCCATATTTTCATACAGAAAGAGATTCTACTTGCATTGACTGACACTGATATAGCCAAATCTATGTAGTTATATTTTCCTCTTTCATTGCTTTGTCGGGATTTTATATGAAAAATAATTTTAAAAACTTGGAAATGAATATTGTTTTTCACTTGGGGTCCATTTAGAATGGCTAGTGATGAAAGCCAAGAAAAGCTTGAAGAAATACCTATACTCTGTCTTTTCAAGAAACTTACAATAACATCTTACATACAGCGAACTCTTATGTAAAACCTTCAGTGAGAATCAGATAAAATCTCTCTTTCAGTGGAGTGCCTCTTTACCCTACTTTCCCTTCCCCACAAGTCCTTCTGTGTCACTTTATGTTTGCAAATCATGTAGTGCCAACACATGTCAAATATTCAGGGTGGTCATCTGGTGAAGCAATGTGACTATTATATGCTATGTAGCTGGCACAGAAGTGCTGGAATTAACTTCTGGGGTGGGGAGAGGCATAGAGTGATCCATGGCAAAGTCAAATTCATTCAGTTAAATGGAGCAAATTACTTCCTCTCCTAATAGAAAGAAAAACTGATAAAAAAAACAGGGAAATAATGTTTTATCTGGAGCCAACATCCCACAACAGCCAGAAACATAAACTCTAGTATTCAAGTCAGGCCATATGATTCTTTCTTAAAGCCCTGAAGAAATGAATTTTCATTTTGGCAATCTCAACAACGGGTTCCTCAGAACACAATCTGTAACTCAAAACCAAACTCCTTCTGCAGAGCGTCACTGGCCCACAGATGTCCCAAGTTGCATTGTCTCTAAAACCATTATTTGGGGGCCTTGCATGGATAACTGGAGGTTTTCATTGAAACTAGAGGATGCCTATATACAAGCAAAGCAAAAGCAAATAATCCCACCATTCCCAGAAAGGGTGATTACAGTCAACCACTCTCCAATCATCACTGCCAAGAAAGCATCCTACTCTCAGTTCAACCCTGATGACAGACAACGCATATCTCCACATGATTAAGTGACTTAGAGCTAATCTGTATTTGCATATCTAAAAGGCAGCAAGTGCCCTCACACTGTGTCTTTGACATCTCAGCTTTACGTGGGTGGATACCAACATCATACTTACGGGAATGGCTCAAATGACTATCAAGGCGAATATAGCCCACACAGCTACCCTGTCTGCGCTTGGACAAGGAATTTTGGATGGGAGGGTTATCAGGAGAGAGTTCATACCACACCTCTTATAATCTGAGAAGCTCTCTTTTAAAATCAACCTACTTGTTACAAGAGCATATTAAAATTTGCAACACCTTATAAATGTAATTATTACCCTGGTATCCCATCTCTCTTTCCAAGGAACTTACAAGGTCTAATACTTTTTCTGATTCATACCCAAGAAAGATATACTTTATACTTCATAGGTAAAGGCAATAACAAAGAGGTAGCTACATCACCTCAGTATTACACTGAGAACCATTTGTTGAAAATAGCCCCATGTGAAAATTCCTAAATATACTATGCCAAAGAGAATGTCTGAAAATGAAAGGGGACTTTTTTCTAAGGTTGTTTAAACATGGGAGGAACCCAAGATATAACTTTAAGGCTCATTTTTGCTTTATGTATCTTTTTACTTCTAGGCCTTAGAGCATATAACAGACCCTTCACCTGGACCTGTGGTCCCTTTTAAAAAAATCTGCCTGTACCTTAATGTAGTTTTTTCTTTATCCATATCGTTTATATGACTATGGAGAAGTAAAAGTCACCCAAGCAGTGTTAGCATACATCTGTGGGATCTGCTGAAAGATGTATTTTCTTTTCTGCTCTATAAAGCTGTTGTGCTCCAAGTAAATTATTTCCAAACCATGAAAAATAAATGTGTAACAGCTGTATTGATGACCTTTGACTCCTACCATGTCATACTTTCAGGATAGTCGTGGTTCTAAAGAGCTGCTTCAGTCATTCAGTTGCAAATCCTTCTATAGGGCAAAGATATATTGGAGTGCAAATATTGACAAGTTTCCAAAAGCAACATAGTGGTGTAAAAGTAACTTTTCGGTTCCCCAGTAAAACAGAGAATGGGTTTATTTGGGTTATTAAGCATAGACTGCAGAAGACAGAAAGAAGAATGCCTGAGCCATTTACATCCTTCTGTTTCTAAAAGAGAGCAAAAGAAAGGGTAATGATTTTCATGTGTTTATAAGTACCCAGGGATGCCAAGGTCCATTCCATTTGGGTTACCATCCAGGCAGTAGGGATGAAGAAAGAATATGTTTGATTCAGTTTAATGAGAACTTAACTAATTCACATTTGCCAAACTAAAATATGAATTGAATAATCATACTTTTTCCAAATGTTTAATTCAGTCCTCCAGTTTACTGGGGAAAGCAAAACGTTCTATATCCTAAGGATGGGATGATGAAAATGTTAACTATATTAGAGGAAGTTGCTTCCAAAAATACATATTTTTAGGGAAAATGGGTGCCAAAATGTGCATGCTGGGAGAATGCATGCCCATTTTTGCGTTGAGGACCTGTGATTACAAATCACAAAGAAGTCACACAAACTGACATGGGCAAGGTGTGAAAGAATTTTAAGTTTGAGAAGATGAGAAACTGAGCAAAACCAAAATGACAGATTGGTTCAATTCCCAGCAGGCAGTGGAAAGTGGCTGCGTTCCTTTCAAATCCTTATCCTGGTTCATGGCAAGGGGGAGGGAGATCTTCCCAATTATGGTTGACACTTGGCCTCATTTCTTTGTTGGCCCTTAACTGCATTAGGTAAGATGGCACCTCTTTGTTTGTTCCTCATTCACATGTAGGAAGAATTAAGGATCGCCTTGGGCACCACAAGTCAGTGCCATGTTTTGATATATTGTGATATAATAAAGGAGTGGGGGACAATTGCAAAAGTGTTAGATCATAAATATAGGCAGGCAAAATGCTTGAAGTTATTTAATAGTATCAAATATTAATAAAATTAAAAATAAGGCCATAATATTTGCCCATTATCCCAGTGTCTTTGAATTCAATTACAACAAGAGATGCAGAAATGCTTTTTTACTCCTAAGGAGGCAGTGAGTAGAACACTGCTTGCACACTTTTTCCTCATCTCTCCAAAAGTAATATGGTATGAGATTTCGAAAACATTCAGCTTTCATTAAAAAAATAAAAAATAAGGGGGCCTAGAATATCCCTGAGAAGTCAGGTCCTTCCACAATCTGGTAGTGGAGGAGCTGGTAAGGCAAAGACTCTTCACAGTCCTCTATAGTTAAAGTACTAAACACAAACTGCCCCCTGCCATTTAAGAAAGCCACTTTTCTGCTTGCTGGGAGTTGCCACAGGAATTACTTACTGCAGCCATGGAGTTGATGCGGTCAATGTAATAGTCTGGCCAACTTGTAGCAAGTTTATTAGGGTCTTCCTGCTCCTGAAAGAGACAATCAAGCAATGTCACATGAATAATGTTCAAGGGAAATCACATTCCATCTATCTGGACTTCTCGGACACAAAATGCACCAAGCCTTTAGGGCCAACACTTAAAACTGTCATGTTGCACCATTTGGAATCTGTTCCTGCTCCCCTAAACATCACCACTTGAAGTAGTTTGCTTCAGGCCAACTCTGTTCTTCCCTATTCATCTCTGCACATCATGGGCTTGTGGCATTGAAACAAATAGCCATGGAAGACAATATATCCCAGTGCACACCATGGTACTAAGGAGTTGCTGAAGCTCAGCACTAACTACATAGTTCATTAAAAAGTTGCACTTCAATACCTCATCAAACATTATCTTCTCTAAAATATGCTGATAAAGATCTGAAGTGAAACAATGCAACTGTAGTCCAAGTCTATGCCCCAACCACTGTTGCTGAAGAGGCTGAAGTTGACTGATTCTATGAAGGCTTACAATACCTTCTAGAACCAACACCAAAAAATGATGTCCTTATCATCATGGGGGACTGGAATGCTAAAGTAGGAAGCCAAAAGATAACCGGAATAACAGGTAAGTTTGGCCTTGGAGTACAAAATGAAGCAGGGCACACACAGGCTGGTAGAATTTTGTCAAGAGAATACGATGGTCATAGCAAGCACTCTTTTCCAACAACCCAAGAGACCACTCTACACATGGACAACACCAGACGGTCAACACAGAAATCAGACTGACTATGTGCTCTGCAGCCAAAGGTGGAGAAGCTCTATACAGTCAGTAAAATCAAGACCAGGAGCTGACTGTGGCTCAGATCATGAGCTTCTGGTTGCAAAATTTAGGCGTAAATTGAAGAAAGTAGGGAAAAGCACTAGGCCACTCAGGTATGACCTAAATCATATCCCTGATGAATATACAGTAGAGGTGACAAACTACCACACCTTTGCACTCATTTCACATGCTAGCAAAATTACGCTCAAAATCCTACAAGCTAGGCTCCAGTAGTATGTGGACTGAGAACTACCAGAAGTACAGGCAGGATTTCGAAGAGGCAGAGGAACTAGAGATCAATTTGCCAACATATGCTGAATCATGGAGAAAGCTAGGGAGTTCCAGAAAAACATCTACTTCTGCTTCATTGACTATGCTAAAGCCTTTGATTGTGTGGGTTGCAACAAATTGTGGCAAGTTCTTAAAGAGATGGGAGTACCAGACCCTCCTATTTGTCTCTTGAGAAACCTATATGTGGGTCAAGAAGCAACTGTGAGAACTGGACACAGAACCACTGATTGTTTCAAAATTGAGAAAGGAGTTCGGCAAGGCTGTATACTGTTGCCCTGCCTATTTAACTTATATGCAGAGCACATCATGAGAAAGGCAGGGCTA